AAACCCTAAGCCGCATCCTAAACCCAAACCTGGAGCCCATTGCAGCCTGAAGCGCTCAGAGGCGAACCCGAGATGGCGGATCGGGCTCAGCTCTTCCCAACCCGCTCCTTGCAGGTGAGCTCCCTTCTCTACCAGTTGAGGGTGTAGGGTTGAGGGTTGAGGGTTTAGGGTTTAGGGTACCCCCTCCTCCCCCTTGCCAAAAAACAAACAAAAAGATTCTCCCTTGTAAGAGGAATATAGGGATTGTTCTCTTTCATTTTTCGTATTATTCTGTTTATCTCTTTTTTTTTTTTTTTTTGGGGGGGGGGGGGTGTTCTTGAGCAAGTAGTAGTTCTGTGAGCCATGCACATTCTCAGGTGCTCTTGGCCAAATCTGGTGGGGACGATCAAGTACAGGTCCCTCCCAGCAGCGTGGTCTCCCAGGACGTGCGCATGGAGTCCCGGCCGAGAGCATGTTGAATCCTGAACCTCAAACCCTAAATCCTAAACCCTAAACCCTAAGCCCTAAACTCTAAACCTTAAACCCTAAACCCTCCCAGAGCCCCAAAAACCGTTCAACCACCTTAAGCCTTAAAACTTCTCATGGCCGAGGGAATCCTTCTACCATACGACTTCACTTAACGTCGTCAACCCTAGTACCCCGATTCTGGCACGTTCATGGCCTTGGCGTTGTGGGGTTTGTTGGTCTCTTTAGATATATTCGGGGTTCTTATCAGAGTATCTGTAGGGGCTATATTATTGACGTTTAAGGGTAACAGATAAAGAGGCCACCGGCCTTTGTAACTTTGGCGTTGTAGGGTATGTTTGTCTCGGGTTTTTGAGCCGTTTTAGGCTTTAGGGTTTAGGGTTCAGGGTCTAGGGTTTAGGGTTTAGGGCTTAGGGCTTCGGGCTTGGGGTACTTCTTCAGCTGCTTGCCCCTCCAAGGAGCTCATCAAAGATGCCAGGAGCGTCATCACTGCAGTGCCCTTCCTCGTGGACTTGGTTGAGGCCGGGTTTAGGGTTTAGGGTTTAGGGTTTAGGGTTTAGGGTTTAGGGTTTAGGGGGCTCCCTCCCCAAGTTCAGCTTCAGGGGGGTTCCTTTGGATGTTCCCCCTTATCGTAACAGTCCCTAATCGGGATGTTACTTACTAGGGGGTACTATCATCCCTGTTAGGAGTTTAGGGTTTAGGGTTTAGGGTTTAGGGTTTAGGGTTTAGGGTTTAGGGTTTAGGGTTTAGGGTTTAGGGTTTAGGGTTTAGGGTTTAGGCTTTGGAGAAGGGGGAACCATCCCAAAGGGTTCCTCTCACTCCGAAACCCAAAAACTGCCCTACATAGATACTGGAAGCCCTGAACGAATGGGGGGTCCAGCTCCTTGCGCCTGTCCGACGCCGGCCTTGAGACCTACAAGCTGCATAGGGTTTAGGGTTTTGGGTTTAGGGTTTAGGGTTTGGCTTGAGGGTTTGGGTTGGTGGGGGTTTTCTTTTCGGTTCTCGGCTCCTTTGGCGGGTGTCAAGATCGCCTTGCGAAGGCCAGGAAAGTTTATCTCCTCCTACCCTCCTGTCAACCATTCTTGGTAGCCCAGTGGTAGCCTTTACCCTTTTTTTGGGTTCTGGTCCCCTTATAAAGTAACAAACCAAAAAAAGGGTGCCTTATTATAATATGGTTACTGGGCTACTAGGCATTGGCTCCATCGTCTTGTGGTGGAGTGTTTCCGGTGCGTTCTCTGAGTCTCGAGGCCATTCCTGAATGGCCGACAAAATTTCAGCCAGCCCTGGGAAGCCTCTTCGAATTTCTCGGCTCCGACGAACTGGCTGATGCCCTGTCGCTGGGTTTAAGTTAATCTCGAGTTCGCGTGCCCGTGGATTCGTTGGGCTTAAGACTTCAGCCCAGATTCAACCCGAGTTGCAGCCCTTGACATTGGCATCTATAACCCTAAACCCTAAACCCCTAAACACTAAACCCTAAAACCCCCTAAACCCCTAAACCCCTAAACCACCCCTAAACCCCCTAAACCCCCCTAAACCCCCCTAAACCCCCCTAAACCCCCCTAAACCCCCCTAAACCCCCCTAAACCCCTAAACCCCCCTAAACCCCTAAACCCCGAAAAACCCTAAAAGCCTAAACCCCTAAAACCCTAAAACCCTAAACCCCTAAAACCCTAAAACCCTAAACCCCTAAACCCTAAACCCTAAACCCTAAACCCCTAAACACTAAACCCTAAAACCCCCTAAAACCCCCTAAACACTAAACCCTAAACCCTAAAACCCCCTAAACCCCTAAACCCCCCTAAACCCCCCTAAACCCCCCTAAACCCCCCTAAACCCCCCTAAACCCCCCTAAACCCCCCTAAACCCCCCTAAACCCCCCTAAACCCCTAAACCCTAAACCCGGTTTTGAGGTCCTCCGCCTCCTCACTGTCGCTCCCTCCGCTCGGGGTGGTCGAGGCAATCACCTTGGGGACCAAAAATGGACCCTAAAAGGGTTTAGGGTTTAGGGTTTAGGGTTTAGGGTTTAGGGTTTAGGGTTTAGGGTTTAGGGTTTAGGGTTTAGGGTTTAGGGTTTAAACAGCCCTTAGTACAGATTATAGTACCCCCACCTGGCGGCTGCGCCCGAAAGAGCCCTCGAGGCCCCAGAAAGTCCAAAGGGCATGAATGAACCCTCAAACTGGCGTCATATACCCGATTGTTAAGGTACATGAACCATAAAACTCTTTTTAGGTTCATATCTACGTAAACAGAAATTGTTAAGGTACATGAACCACAAGCGCTTTTTAGGTTCATATTAAGGTACATGAACCATAAAACTCCTTTTTAGGTTCACACCTATGCAAACAGGAGTGGCAGAGATTGGAGCCGAGCTTCTTGCACGCTGGGGCTCAGGGTGAATGCGTGCAAAAACCACCAACAGCCTGACCGTGACCCCGCCCAAAGAAAGCTGCCAACACCCCCTTAAACCCTAAACCCTAAACCATAAACCCTAAACCCTAAACCCTAAAGACCCCCCCCCCCCCAAATATCCAGGTGCGCTGCGGGCTGCTGCTCCGCGTGTCTGATGGGAGCCATGAGACCCTGCAGGTCAGCTGCAGGGCTTTGGCGCTTTGGGGCTTTGGCTTCGTGCAGTTTTCGGACTTCTGCTTGTTTGCAGCTAGCACTTGATAGTGCTTGCCTTTCGGATCCAGTAAGAATTGTGCAAGGTATGTCATCTCCGCAGAGGTTTGGGCACAGTTTTCTACACTCCCATGTGTGGATCTAGCACGCGAAGAAACCGTATGGTGTACGTATATTCATGCACCAAAGGTACGCACGGATCAAAAACCGCCGCGCCGTACATCAATCGATGCCAGTTTTTTATTTTGGAATTCCTTGCGCAGGCATAGAAGATTGCATCGCGCCAAATTTTGGGTGATTCCAAATTGAGCTCGTTCGCTGTTCTTTGGCCAAACCCTCAGACCCAGCCCTCGTAAATCCTGGCCTGTATATACACATGCTCACTTCTCTAAATTACGGTCCCTTCTGGGTCCTTGGTATAAGGCGGCCCTATTATGTACCAAAAAGGACCATGGTTTCGGGAACTGAGCACATATCTGCGTGTCTATGTCCATCTCCAGATGCCAGGCTGCACTGGATGGCAATGATGCCCGGCAAGTGGCGGCCACGGTGCTGGCGCGCTTGCTCGCTGTGGCTCGGCTAGAGGGGTCCACTACGTGACGGGGCTCAGTTCAGAATTAAGACTTTCGGTTGAGCCCCCGCTGCCTGTGGAAGCGATTGGGCCGGGCATTCAAGAGCTGAGCTGACTTAATTGGGTCTTTGTACTGGGGCTTCGGGCGCGCGTCGTCCGTATGCTGTAGTGTAGTGTGGTTTTCTTAGCTTTGCTGTCGTTTCTGTTTTGTGCCGGATGTGGTTTGTTATGCCACAAGGTGCCCTTGTTGGGCGGCTCAGCCTAAACTCACAGGAACAAATCATGCTATTGCCGAATACATCCTACGACAAATCAGGTACCACCTTTCGGATGTGGTTAGGGTGAAGTATGGTATGTGGTGGGAGTGGTGGTGGTGGTGGTGGTAGTGGTAGGAGGAGGAGTTACAGTTGCCCTTCATTGTTTGGCAGCACCTTCGACGCCGAACACCCCGGCCCCCTGCATGAAAGGAGAGGGAGCCCATCCACAAAGCGCAGCAACACATCCGATGTCCATCTAAGCCCAACAAGGCCCAATGCAGGTGAAGTCCTCTGTGCCAGGTGCCAAATATTGCAACCTACCCGTCCCTAAACCCGAAACCCTAAACCCTAAACCCTAAACCCTAAACCCCTAAACCCCTAAACCCCTAAACCCCTAAACCCCTAAACCCCTAAACCCCTAAACCCCTAAACCCCTAAACCCCTAAACCCCTAAACCCCTAAACCCCTAAACCCTAAACCCTACTGGCGCAGCCCTGAACTGGCTTTAGGGTTTGGGGTTCTTGGTTGAGGGCTTGATGTCGCCATCGAACCCTCGAAGCTTTCAGTCCCCCCTTTGCCCCCCCCCCCCCCCCACCCCCCCCCCGGTGACCCTAAACCCCTAAACCCTAAACCCTAAACCCTAAACCCTAAACCCTAAACCCTAAACCCTAAACCCTAAACCCTAAACCCTAAAACCTAAACCCTAAACCCTAAAACCTAAACCGCCCAAGGATGGCGCACATATGCCCGCGCTGCTCATCTCTGACTTGGGACGCAGACCACGTGACGTATTGATTTAAAGCCTAACTAGCCGCGGCTAAAGCGTCTTGTGCCGGTTGCGAGCAGTCTTTGGGTTTTAATCTTTGGGGTGAGAAGGGCTCCGGGTTTAAGGATTTTGGGCTGTTTAGGAACTGCTTGCCAGAAGAAGTTCCGCAAACAGCCTCGCTTGGCAATCTTGTGCAGACACTCGTACAAGAAAGTCTCCCCAACACAATCCCCAAACCCCCAGTCAACCACAACCTCAACAGCAGCACCAGCAACAATAGCAGCCACAACGATTTTTCAAACATGCCAAACCATTTCAAGGCATGGGCAACCAAACTTCCGAAACTTTGAAGCCCCCCTTAAACCCTCTCAAAACTCCACGCCTTGAAAGGCCGCGCTACTAAACCCTAAACCCTAACCCTAATCCCTCAACACCCTTCAGCCTCAAGCGAGGCAGAAGTTCGAAGCTTCCATCAGTCAGTGGATGAAGCAAGTCCATGAGGCTGTCAGGGCTTTCTTGTGCTTTAGGCTTTACGGTCTAGGGTTTGGGGTTAAGGGTGTAGGGTGTAGGGTTTAGGGTTTAGGGTTTAGGGTTTAGGGTTTAGGGTTTAGGGTTCGTGGAGATGAGGTTTCGGGAACTCAGGCTGAGGGGTTGAGGATGGTCTCGCTCGGCTTCAAGCCTAAGCTTTTCAGCAGAAGGCCCTACACCTTGTCTGGGCCCTGAACTTTGTCATAGTTGGGAAACTTTTTCATTTTTAAGGGTACTTAAACCCAATAAGGAATGTAAATTTAAAGACGAAAAACTATCCCAACAATGAACAAGTGAAGAAGTCGAGCGTTGCCAGCATCACTCAGACATGAAGGGGGTGAAGTGGCAGGGAGAGAGGGGGAATTATACAAGCGCCAAGCCGACTGATGAGAGGAAACGCAGCAGTCGCAACAATGAACGCGCATAATCAGAAGAACAAAAAAAGAAGCAGTTCCAACTCCCAAAGGTTCCAGAGCCGATTGCTTTCTGAGACCCTCAAACACTAATAAGCCTTGGTAGCCCAGTGGTACCCTTTTCCCCTTTTTTGGGGGGTTATGGGTTCCCGTATAAAGTAACCAACCCAAAAAAGGGTGCCCTTATTTTAATACGGTTAGAAGCCCCTGCGAGGCAGAGGAGGAAGCTGCACTTGTTCAGGGCCTCGCGAAAGAGGTGGCAGATGCAACGATGCTCTCCTGCGAGGCTGGGGTTGTGGGGTTGCGGAAGATTTGCGCAACGTTTTGTAGCCAGCATTCACAAGAAAGTCCCAGAAGCTCGTCTACCTACATGGGTGTGAGATTTGAGGACTGCCACTGAATGGGTTCGAGGCATGCAAGAAAGTTGTTCCCCAAAAAATGCTGACACTGCTGAAGGTCTGGGAGTTTGCGGCTTTGCGTTCAGGCTTGAGTGTTGCTCAGACTGCCTGTATGGTTTGTGTTTCGGAGGAAGCCTTCTTTCAAACTGCAACATGTGTTTAATAATGGCTTAACCACACTGTTGGCCTAAACCCTAAACCCTGAACCCAATGTTTTGGCTGCTGTCCGTCGGCAGGTATTCTTGCTCCGCGCCATCAGTGTGCTTCCGCGCGAGGTGCCTTCACTTGCAAGCAGTGGGCCGATACAAGGGTTTAGGGGTGAGGGTTTATGAGTTAGGGATTAGGGTTTAGGGTTTAGGTTTATCGATTAGGGTTTCGGGTTTAGGGTGTAGGGATAGGGTTTAGGGCCAATAAGTGTGAGCATCAAGCAGGAGAAGCCTTCTGCATGCTCATGCTCGGGCTTAAGGTTGAGGTGGCGTCCCTGGAACTTCCCTAAACCCTAAACCCCAAACCCTAACCCCAAACCTGAAACCCGAAACCCTAAACCCTGAACCCTAAACCCCAAACCCTGAACCCTACAAACCCTAAACCTTATAAGCCCTAAACCCTAAACCCTAAACCCCAAACCCTAAACCCTAAGCCCTAAGCCCGAAACCCTAAACCCTAAACCCTACGCACTCCGACAGGCGCGGCAGGCCGTCGGGAAGATCCTGGCGTCGCCCTACGTCCACTTGCGAAGGCCTCGCAGCCGCATCCGTGAGGCCAGGATTCGGCTTTCATGAGACTTTGGGGGCGTTTAGGGCCCTAAAAACCTAAACCCTAAAACCTAAACCCTAAACCCTAAACCCTAAACCCTAAACCCTCGGTTTAGGGTTTAGGGGGTTTAGGGTCCGCAGAGCGGCAAGTTTGTGCAGAAAGCTGCCACGATGGGGGTCCATGGGGCGCTCCCCCAGCCTTTCAACGAGAAGCCAACTGCAAGGGGGGGGGGCGGGGGGGAGAAGGGGGGGGGGGGGTTTAGGGTTTAGGGTTTAGGGTTCAGGGTTTAGGTTTTAGGGTTTACTGCAGTCGGAGAGCAGCAGCACGCCCAAAGCCACATGGATCCGAAACGGCACCGCGCAAGTCCGAACGCTAAGTTTTGAGGTAACATCCTGAACAACTCCGACAGGCGCGTGCCAAAAACCAAGACAATGCTCAGATTCAGCAGACTACACACACACACAGCAAAAAGCTTCAAAACCTCAAGCTCTTTGGACTTGCACAGCCTTGGCCTTGGAATTCTAAGCCCGAGAACCCCAAGCTGCGCTACATCGGGGTCTCCAGGCTGCAAAGGCAGCCCCCGATTTCTGCATCGCTGCGCGCTGGCTGGGGGAGCACTTCGGTATACTGGAGTGGACGGAGCTCCCCGGCGGCTTCTCATGGGTGGAGGTGGAGGAATGTGTGGGGATTCGGGGTTCTGGGCCATGGTCAGGCATCATTCGTAGCAGCGGACATACAACGTCAGCACCTGGGGTTTGGGTTTCGGGGGTTCAGGGTTGAAGGCTTTTAGGGCTTGACTTGTCGGGGCAATGCTTTGTAGGGTCTAGTAGAAAGATAAGACCTTGTACTGCGGACATGGCTGTGGCAATTTAGGGCATAGGGTTTAGGGTTTAGGGTTTAGGGTTTTGGGTTTTGGGTTTAGGGGCTTCAGTACCCGTGGGTCTTAGGATCCTCATAGGGCCCCTCGCATCCCGAAAGATCTCTGCCCGAGGCTTCGCTGGGAAAGCTACTACGACCCTGGGCAAAGATTCGCCTCGGTTTAGGGTTTAGGGGTTTAGGTTTAGGGTTTAGGGTTTAGGGTTTAGGGTTTAGGGTTTAGGGTTTAGGGTTTGGGTTTTAGGGTTGAATTTTGCTCTTTGCTCGGAGACTGGGCATGGACCTGGGAGGGGCGCTGCGGGTGCTGCAGTTGCATGGGACTTTGAAGAAAGGGCTTAGGGTTTAGGGTTTAGGGTTTAGGGTTTAGGGTTTAGGGTTTAGGGTTTAGGTTTGGGTTCAGGGTTTGGGGTTTAAGGTTTAGGTTTAGGGGTGTGGGGTCATGCTGTAGGGCAAAAACCCCAAACCCTGAGCCAGGTGCTAGGAATCCCAGACCTCGAGCCTTCAAGGCCTGAACTCCAGACGTAGGAATACCGGAAGCCTCCCCCCCCCAAGTTTAGGGTTTAGGGTTTAGGGTTTAGGGTTTAGAGTTTAGGGTTTAGGGTTTAGGGTTTAGGGTTTAGGGTTTCCAAAAGAACTCTTCTCAAATCCCAAGTTCCAGATGGTTCAGGGTGCAGAGAATTTGGGGCAGAGGCTTTGGGGGTTGACTCCAAAGTTCGGTACACCTCTCCTCCAAGCTGAAGCTCCGTACTCGCTAAACGGGACCTAGAGACCAACATCACTTTCATCGCCTCTCCGAAGCCCTCTGAGCCTTAAAAGTACAACTTAAAAGGACACCTTTGACCATGGTCCCAAGAGCGACCTGAAGCCTCTAAGGATAACTTGCGTAACCCAACAACTTGCTGTTGGCTAGTAGGGAATGGGGGAATACGGTACCGTATATAAATCCCTTATACAGGGTATATAGAGGATGTATGGTACCTCATTCCCCCATTTCCTACGGCCCTACGAACCAACAGTAAGACAAGAAGCCACCCGCACCCCGAATGTTCGAGCTTGGGAGGATGGCACCGCCAGTCGTCCTGGGCCTCCTTTGCTGGCAGCGCCGGGAGCCGTGCATGCCGCCGCTCAGCGCAACAAACGCGGTTCCGTCGCTTTGGCGCTTTCTGGGTTTTGGGGCTTTGGCTTTAGTGGGCTCGAGGGCCTTGGGTTGTGCCCTAGCTGCTAGGGTCTGGGGTGGGACTCGCAATTCTGTATCTTCGACACTGAGCCACTGCAACATAAGCCCTGACATCGCTACAGAATCTAGACATCCCATACATCTTCAAAGCCATGGACACCTTGGAAAACTAGGGTTTAGGGTTTCAGGTTTAGGGTTTAGGGTTCAGGAAGCCGCTCAGCCCCGACCGAGAAAGAGGGGCTTGCGGCTTGCAAGGTGGCCACCAAGGGCGTGGCGCAAGCTGCGAGCATGTCCAGCGAAGTTCCCAGGCCATGTCTCGGTTGCTGTTCTTTAGTGGGAGCCGGTTCTCTACTATTTGCTTAAGAACCCCAAAAGAAAAGTAATAATATAGCCCTTAGTAAGGAAGAATAGTTCTTAAGCAATTAGTAGTGTTGGTTTCGGTTAGGGTGCAGGGGTGGATGGCCGGGGTGAAGGTCTAGGCTTTCGCAGTGAGTTGCTGTGGGCACATCATGTTCTTCCATGTTGGATCCCATGCCCTATACCCCTACAACCCTCCTAAACCCTCCCTTGCCCTTGGCTGCGTAGGATGGGAAGAGAAGTCTCGCACCATCTGATTAGGGCTTCTTTGGCCTTTTACGGCTGTTCCCAAGGCCCTGCTTCTCAACCCATGACTCAAAGCCCCCTAAACCCTAACCCCTAAACCCTAAACCCTAAACACTAAACCCTAAACCCTAAACCCTAAACACTAAACCCTAAACCCTAAACCCTAAACCCTAAGCCCACCATCTAGGAACGAAGCCCTCGGTGTGAAGGCCCGACACCCCAGGGGCCCCCATGACCACTGCTCCAGAACCCCCCCCCCAAAAAAAAATTAAGAAATAGTAATCCCTTCTATTACTCTTATAAGGAAGGAGAATAGTAATCCCTATATTACTCTTTTGTAAGGAAGAAGAATAGTGATCACTATATTACTCTTATAAGGAAGAATCTGTTTATATACATATATATATTTATTTATTTATTTGTTTATTTATTTATTTATTTTTTTTGGCGGGGGGGGGGGGGGTTCTTAAGCAAGTGGTAGATTGCGGTGTTGGGTTGGGCTTTGAAGGAGCGGCAACAGTTCCACAAGTTCTGTGCAGCCCGAGCCAGCGCAGGAGCTGTCGGCAGCAGGGCAGCTACTAGAGGGGTTTAGGGTTTAGGGTTTAGGGTTTAGGGTTTAGGGTTTAGGGTTTAGGGTTGCGGGCTGTAGGAGGCATGAAGGGCTTTTGCCCTTTTTTGCTTGGACTATGGGCTGCCGTTGCTGTTTTTGTTGCAGGTGCTGGGGCGGGGGGTGGGGTGCTACGGGTACGCAGTGTACTGCTGAACCATTAGACTGAGAACCCACTGAAGAATCTCAACGGCGACACAGTGTACGGCCGACCTTGCTACCAGTCTCGTTGTTGCCACTGTCGCCGCTATCATTGTCGGTGTTGTCATTGTGGCTGTTCCTGCTTGGGGAACAAGAAAGAGGTGCAACACTAAAGTTTCAAACCCTAAACCCTAAACCCTAAACCCTAAACCCTAAACCCTAAACCCTAAACCCTAAACCCTAAACCCTAAACCCTAAACCCTAAATTTGCAAATGCAGCAACTCAGGCAAACGACCCCAACGTCCGACTCTGCAGCGACATTGCCAGGCATTGGGCGGCTTCAAAAGAACCTTCTTAGCCTAGACCATGTTTTAGGGTTTAGGGTTTAGGGTTTAGGGTTTAGGGTTTAGGGTTTAGGGTTTAGGGTTTAGGGATGTGACTATGTGGGTCCGCTTAGGTGTTCTGGAGTTTCACTTTCCGCCTAAGAGGGGCATTTGCAGGAATCCTCTCGGAATCGTTTAGGCTTAGGCTCCTCTGTCGAAACCCTAAACCTTAAACCTTAAACCCTAAACCCTAAACCCTACACCCTAAACCCTAAACCCTAAACCCTAGGGTCTCCTACACACTTAGAGCCGACGACAAGGCATGTCGACCTGCGAACTCCTCCTGTTGAGCCCCCAGTTGCGCAACAAGTGCAAACGCTAAAAGCCATAGGAGCCCAGTGGTACCCTTTTCTATTTGTTTTTGTTATGGCTTCCCCCTTATAAAGTAGCCAACCCAAAAAAGGGTGCCCTTATTTGTAACATGGTTACTGGGCTACGAAGCAGCCCTGAGTCGAAGTTCTCGAGAGCTTCGGAATCTTCCGGCACAACTCTTGCGGTGCAACGTGCGGAGGCTGAAGGCCGTGGACTTAGCAGACGTCGACCCGGTGAGCAGAAGCTGGATGCTGGGCGTTTGAAGAGCCGTTTGAGGGCTTGGCATTAGGGCCGGCTCAGCGTCTAGTGCTCAGATTTTGGGGCCACAGGTAAGTGCCGCCCTAAGGCTCGAAGGCGACTAAGGGGGGGGGGGGGGGGGGGGGGGGGGGGGGGGGGCTTCGGCATCTGTTCACTTTAGGGCAGCCGGGTCTCGGGTTATCGGAGGCTTGGAACAAGACTTCATCGACTGCACTCTGACTTGATTGGGCACCAGATGCCCTCAACCGGTCCCAAACTTTGAAGCCTTGCACTTGTTGAAGGGGGATGGCGTGGCTCCGAGGGTTTCAGGTTCGAAGCTCGCGCTCAGTGAAGGGCTGCATCGTTGATCGAGGGCCCAGCAGAAGAAACTCGACTGATAGCTGCTAACGCGGGGACCCGCAGCCCCAAATAAAGAAATCAACATGCTGTATCGACTGTCGCGAAGGATACGCGACAGACCGGTGGATGAGACCACTCGATCTCTGCAGCAGTCGCCAGTCTTTAAAAGGTGGTCGGGAAAAAGCCTTGCCAGAAGCTGCAAAAGCCCAAATGGGCATTTCCTAAAATAGGAGTACCCCTTCTAAGCCCCAAATAGAACAGAATCCCCTTACAGGGACCCTTATTCTCGGAAACCCCAAATCCCAAGCTTCCTCAACAGCCCTGCACCCCCTGCAGACCCAAGCCATCAAGAACTCTTATACTTACTTCTCCAACAGCTGAACTTTAAACTTTTTGGGTTTCCTTATTTAGTAGGAATAATAAAGTTTAACCTTTTTTCCCCTTGGCTATTGGAGAAGTAAGTATAAGAATCCTGCACAGTACCTTGAATCAAGGCATGACTGCAGAGCGCGTTCGCAAGGCTTTCGGGACTTTAATTTAGGGTGTAGGGTTTAGGGTTTAGGGTTTAGGGTTTAGGGTTTAGGGTTTAGGGTTTAGGGTTTAGGGTTTAAGGTTCTCCCAAACCCAGGGCCCAAGGCTGCAAGATACCGAAAACTGCCACCCTCCAGAGGGAACTCCAAGGCCCTGAAGGTTTTGCAGGCCCCTGCGGACTTTCCGTTGAAGCTCCCTGCAAAGCCCTTTGTGCGGTTTAGGGTTTAGGGTTTAGGGTTTTGGGGTCTTGGGGTTTTGGGGTTTAGGGTTTAGGGTTTAGGGTTTAGGGTTTAGGGTTTAGGGTTCAGGGTTTAGGGTTTAGTTCTTTCAGAGCCCAAATCCCCCAACGCCCGAAGCCCAAGCTGCTGGAGTCGTATTAGAGGCGTTCGAACTCGTTTTCGACCACGTGCCCAGGACAGTGCAAGGGGCCGTTAAGCGGCTTGCCGCCGACTTGTACAGCCGCTCGTCAAAAATAGACCATAGACCCTTTATATTCCCGCAACCCCGAAACACAAAACCCGGTGCTTTTAGGGGACGGAATTCCGGCTTCGGGTGTGTTTCGGGATTAGGCCTTTTCTGGACGTTCGGTTGCCATAAGCTCCTCCTTCTTGGGAGAAGTTCGGGTTTTGGAAGGCACGGCGTCTCCCTCAACCGACTGCTCGGGATGACACGTTCAGCTGCACCCTCAAAGGCCAGACCAACCTTGAAGTTTGGGCCTGCTTCAGCCCTTTAAAGCCGAAGTTTAGACGGGACAGCGGTTCGTACTCAAGCTTAGAGGCCAGACCCCGACATTCATCCCTGAATTCCGAACCAAGAAAGAGCAGGCACGGAGACCCACTTCCTCCTGGAGCTGCTGCAGAACGTCGACGACTGCAGGCATTGTGTGGGGGGGCGAAAGGAAAGGGCCCTAGGGTTTAGGGTTTAGGGTTCTCATCCCAACCCCTGGAAGCCCTAAACCCGCCTAAACCCGGAAAAAATCGGCAAGATTACGTCAGCCCTAAGCCTTGTGTTCAAAAGGCGTTCATCATTGGTCTCTGCAGGGTTCCTACAGCTGTTGGCTTGCGATGAACTCTCGACCCGCAATTACCTCCGAAAAGTGTGGGCGGTTTAGGGTTTAGGGTTTAGGGTTTAGGGTTTAGGGTTTAGGGTTTAGGGTTTAGGGTTTAGGGTTTAGGGTTTAGGGTTTAGGGTTTAGGGTTTAGGGTTTAGGGTTTAGGCCAGGGCCTCAGGGTCTGAAACTGAGACCCAGGCATTTCAAGCTAAGGCAGCGAAATGCTTTGGGGGCCTCGGCGTTCTGACGGTTGGGACCGTGCCCCCTTTATACCTCCTTACTTTGTGGTACCTTACTGTAACTTTAGATCCTTCGCCTTTTTGGGTTTAGTGGGTTTCTTAATAAGGCAGCTGAAATTTTAATTTTTAGCTACCCTTCTGAGTGTAGCCAAGCTTATATCCCCCAAAGGTCTGGTGCAGGGTTTAGGGCTTTAAGGTGCTTATACTCCCCTTTATACCCCCCTTTTATACCCCCCTTTTATACCCCCCCCTTATACCCCCCTTTATACCCCCCCCCTCCCCCCCTTTATATCCCCCTAAGGTCTGGTGTAGGGTTTAGGGCTTTAAGGTGCAGGCTGAAAGCCTGTGAATGTCGCGCAGGTTCGTGGCAAACGAGGTTCCCCGGCTTCGCCTGCTTCTGGAGGAGCCGCCGGTCACCAAAAGCCCTGAACCCTAAACCCTAAACCCTAAACCCTAAACCCTAAACCCTAAACCCTAAACCCTAAAACAGCCAAAGCAAAAATGAAAGGCAGATCTGGTTTGAGCCCCCCCTTTGAGCACCGAAGCCGACCCTTTGGCAAGAGTCTGAGACCCTCCAGGGGCTTGAAGGGTTCTAAGCTGCGGTTTAGGGTTTAGGGTTTAGGGTTTAGGGTTTAGGGTTTAGGGTTTAGGGTTTAGGGTTTAGGGTTTAGGGTTTAGGGTTTAGGGTTTAGGGTTTAGGGTTTAGGGTTTAGGGCGTTTGGGATCTGGGATTTAGATTTGGTGTTTAGGATTTAGGGTTTTTTAGGGTTTAGGAATTAGGGTTTAGGGTTGAGCTTCTAGAACTTTGGGAGGACAGCAGGCAGGAGTACTCCCAGCTCACGAGCTTGGCCGAGGCTCGTGTTGTTCTGGAGCTTCTATCATGCCACTAAACCCTAAACCCTAAACCCTAAACCCTAAACCCAGTTGGGTCTTTGAAGGGTCTCGACTTCAGGGTGCTGATGGACTCAGTGAGTTCATGCTAGGCTGCAGGGCGATTGAAGCTTGAGGGTTTCAGGCAACCAAGCCAAGGGGCCGCCCCTAACCAGCCTTCTAGGGTTTAGGGTTTAGGGTTTAGGGTTTAGGGTTTAGGGTTTAGATACACGGACAACAAGGTGGTCCAAGTGGAAACTGCGGAGCGCTCAATGCTTTACAAGGGCTTTGTTTTGGTTTGTAATGCTCTCAGGCTTCAAAAAAATCCTTTGCGTGGTCTTTTTCCGGCCCTACGCTCGAATCAGCCCTGGGGTTGGGCAGCAAAGTGAAAAGTCGAGTTCGCCGCAGGAAATCCACACGCCCCTGAAGATTTTTTAGGGCCTCGGGTTTGGTGGAATGTAGGTGCTTCAGGGGTTGGGGGTCAAACCAGGGAGCCCTAAACCCTGATAAACCCTAAACCCTAAACCCTAAACCCTAAACCCTAAACCCTAAACCCTAAACCCTAAACCCTAAACCCTAAACCCTAAACCCTAAAACCAAGGCCTGTTTGGGTGGCTGCGTGGCTCTCCTGGCCCTGGAGTACAACGAGACGGGCTTTGAGGAGATCCGACTGACCCTGAGACGGCTCCTGTGGATTTAGGGTTTAGGGCCTTAGGGTTTAGGGTTTAGGGTTTAGGGTTTAGAGTCTAGGGTCTAGGGTCTATAGGGTTTAGGGTTTCGGGTTGCGGGTGTAGGGTTTAGGGTTTAGGGTCTAGGCGGCCGAAGGCGCCCGCAGCGCAGGAGTCCAACGTGCGAGCACTCTGCGACATCGCCCAGTCCACGAAGACGAGTGCGGAGCGGACACGTGGTGCGCACCAGGGGTGCTTCGTAGTCCCCCCCAAACCAGGACGGGCTACTAGGCCTTACAATCCCCAAAATCAACCCTATAAAGGGCCTTTTTAAGGGGTTATAGGGTATACTAGCCCGTCCTGGAAGACCCCCCAAGACTGGTTGAATCCGTAATCCACTCCCCCGAATATGAACCCATCCAAGAGACGTCTGCACAGTACACGGTAACCCTAAACCCTAAACCCTAAACCCTTCTCGGATTTCGTTTTGGCCGATAGCCAAGCTGTCGGGGCTTCTCACCCTTCGCGCTAAGGAAGTACATCGGGGCCAAGGGCATCGGATTCAAGTCAGCCCTTGGACCTGGGTTTAGGGTTTAGGGTAGTTTAGGGTAGTTTAGGGTTTAGGGTTTAGGGTTTAGGGTTTAGGGTTTAGGGTTTAGGGTTTAGGGTTTAGGCACCTGGACCTGGCTTTTGAACATTTTGGGGCCTCATTGATGTGGGTTTTGGGGCTGCGCACCCTCTCAGCTGCTGAAGCTTCTCTGGGACCTCTTTTAGCTGCTTTGGGCCCCCAAAGAATGAGAATCCCTATATTGCCCTTATAAGGAGGATTTTGTTTTCTTTTTTTTTTTTTTTG